CCTGATTATTATGGAGGCTGTTTCCAACCTAGAAGCTCCCCAATTTTGTATTGGGTTCGTCCTTATTAACACGTTAAGCGTCATGTCAGTCACTGGTAACTGACGCTTCTGAATGACTAGAAAACAATCGTAACATATAAGATAACCGATGTGAAATGAAAATGTTTAATAACGTAACTAAGTTGATAATAGTGTGATGCAAACATTGTAACGTCAAATAATTAATAATTGTTCCTGCTTGTCTTTACTACAAAATAAAAACTCTACGGGAAAACGCTTAAGATTTCCGTGGTCCTTAACGTGTTAACAAATTGACTCCACATTACCAGGGTATAAACCCTGTATCCGGCTACTCGCGCCGTTCGCAACCCTGCCTCATAACAAGTGCATAAAACGACTCCACAAACTGGAGAAAACAAACCATATTTTTGGTGCTTTTATTTATTATAATGTATAGTGCATTTTATAATATTAATTAATTAACCAATTAACTTTGATCAAAGTAGGAGTTGATTATCAGCATAAGTTTCATTCATGCAATCTGTGATATGCAGGATAATAAACTTATGTATATCAATTCAAAACAATTTGACTCCAAAGATGTAGGCAAACTAACTTTTCAACATGATGAGAAAGCATTAACATTAGCCGTACCGTGATCGGTTTTAAAATTTAATTAAAAAATTTGCGTTTTATTTTGTTCATTTAATTTTATATCAATTCCTATATTATCCGATTAATCAGTTTCTGAATTTTTGTTTTTCCTTTCGTTTTTGCTCGGACTAAGAAAAATTTATCTATGATCTAACTTTTGACCTTCCTTTAGTAGTCATTTGACTGGTTAAAGATACGAAGTGCCAGTACGGTTAGTTAGTGTTAATGACGTTTCTTGTTCAAAATATTCTGTACGATTCATAATTGTTCCCAGAACAATTGTTATAATATAACGATAAAGGGATGAAAAAATGTATGCAAATACACTTGTTTATAGTACAGTACAGTTCTGATTCATTTTCACGTGTCACATAATTGTACAGCATGATGGTATTGCAATTTACATAACTGTGTATTTCATTCGTTAAGAGATTTCCAATACACCAAAATTTCGTTATCTTTTTTAGGACTCGGCTTGGATAAATATAAACGCTATGACCCAAAGGTAAGTTATTTGTGATTTCAACTATAAAAATCCTATTACATAAATTTTTCACTTACAACTAACCAATATGTTTCATGGCATATTCAATTATATTCAATTTAAACTAGTTTTCATTTGTATTATTATATTTTCTATATTTGCTATTAGGGGGTCTTCTGGTTTATCAAGTCAGCAGAAGCAATTTTTTAACGTTACTCTCGCTGTTCACGTGTTATAAATGTGTCTTCAGAATGACTATATCGATTTAACTAGTATTTATATAGAACATATAAATCGATATTTTTTGTCGTTGTATCAATCGATAATTATTTTTAATTCGAAAAAGTTACATGACAAATCTACAAGGACAATCTACATGCACTGGAAATAGATACGGATTTTACATACGGAAAATCACCGACAAGTGAACAATCATACTGTAGATCATTACACCAATTTATAAGAAGTTAATTATCCATTTAATTTATCGAGCCATCACTTTAAGTAATAATGAGTTCTTAACCCTCCGCATTCGGTGATAATTTTTACATTCGCTTGCATCAGCTCAATTATTATAGACATATTTTGTTTAAAAAGGATAATTAAAAACTCCTAGAGAAGCTTCTGATTTAAAAAACTTTAAGTACTTTATTCTTATTTATTCGTATAAAGTATATGTAAACACAATAGTATTAAAACGAAGTGGAAAGTAGTGAACTCGTCCTGTGAAAGCGGTGTCCAGATCCGTGCTTTAATAGGGTTTCTTATCTCTTGTTCTTGAGATTTCATGTCGAAAAAACTCAGCGCATTTGAACGATACGAACAACTGACGGTGCATTCACAATCTGGCGAAACGCGCATAACTTTTCAGACGCATGTACGTCGCATCGGTACTTTTTTTGTATATAAGTAATCCAAGTAATACATTTTGTATTTCGTTGTTACCAATTCTAAATTAATATCTATTTATAATAGTATTAACATAGATTAAGACAAGCGCTGCCGCGCTGTTTGGCTTTTCTCGATACAAAAGAAAGGAGCGCTATCGCACCGCTTGGCACTTTTCACATCCTATTCAGGAAACGCTATTGCGCTGTTCGGCTTTTTTCGACTGTTTTCTTAAAAACCTCTGATACTTAAACGGTTAAAATAAACTTTCGATGGTGTTCTATAAAGTTCTATGACATTATGTGGTTACGTGTTCTTATTCAGTCTGGTGCAACGTGATGTAACTTATAATTCGTCACTCAGTTACGTGTTATACTGCAATCTTAGATGAATTAATGTAATACTATTGGAAGATCGAGGGCAATGTGTTAAATCAAATTTAAGGTTGTTTGTTTATTGTGCCTAAACAATATTGTATTTCACTTCTTTGAATGAAGTTTAATGTGCATATTTCACGGTATGATATTTTTAAAAACAATTGCTCGAAATGCAGCATGTCGGCACAGCCAGGTGCAAAGGGTCAAACTTATTCTTCTCTTCTAAGTATTAATAAGTTGGAAATCAAACAGTTTATATGGCAATGTATTTGGCAGTATTAACATTTATTGTAAGATTTATTTAAAAAATTTAAATAATATGAGTAATTGACATAAAAAATAAAGAATACAGTAGAATTTTCCAACCGTGGACATTACGAACATCTTGACTGCTTCGAGCTTCATCGTTATTTTGATAATCGACTTTCCAGGGAAAAAAAGTACTTTATAATCTATTTTATGAAGAAAAAAATATATTTTTCAAATAGACACAACAGATTTGGATAAATGCCATAAATATTTGATTATTTTTTTCGTATCTTTTGTAATTCTTTAAACGCGTTCTTTGAACTTGTCGTTAGTCTTCTAAATTCATTTCACGTTTCTCTCAGAAATTACTTACTGACTCGATCGGCTTATCCTTTTAAACGCACACTCTACATATACAGGATGTTTCGCACAACTGTTATAAGACATATCTTCTTCTGGTTGAAATTAGAAAGAAAATGTTAGGAGACAAAATAAAATGAAATAACATTCCGCATATATGCATGGTGACCGGTTACGGATTTTTCGAATGTACGATAGTACATGCGCATTCTACAGTTAAACTATTCTTTTTTGAAACAGTTTTTGTAATAGTTTACCCTATTTTAATCTATGAGAGTAGATTTTTCACTATGGTGTTTCTTGAAAAATATGTTAAGTAAGTAAGTTAAATATATATTAAGTCCTTTAAATTCTGTAGAGGACATAAAAGTGCAACTACTAGCAGCTTATGAATTAATAACAAAAGATCAATTTAATATGGTTATAAAAACAACTTAAAAATGTTATATGAAATATTTGAATTACGATGGGAAGACGTTAGAGCATCCTTTTTAATACAAATATTTTTTTAAAATAAGCTGTGAAATAATCATTTTTCAATCATTTTACTATAATATTTTTTTTACACAGAATAAAGGGGGAATTCAGTTCATGCAAAGAAAGAGGTAGTTTTCAATTTAAAACAATTGTATACACGTTTGAAATACTCACGGCTGTAAATATGTGCCGAATAGTATACTATTCATTTTAGTTTTGTGACATTTTTTTCTAGTTCTAAACAAGAAGATGATATGGCTTGTAACAGTTGCGTAAATTACCCTGTGTATATTTTTCGCTATAATTACAACCAGAATTGTCTCAATATGATGTAAATTTCTGTCTTCTTTTTGGTTAATTAAAACATAGAAGATTAATGAATACCATATTATTTAAAAAGAGATACTAGCTGTAGTTATGTTTATAATAAATAAAATCACTATTGAATTATTAATGTGTAACCAACAAAAGATTACAAAGTATATAACAAGATTTAAACACATCTTTGACTACGAACTCCGTGACTATTACAATGACGAGAAACTTCCCAACAGTAATATTTTAAAAATACTTCTTCAACATTACAGATGCAATCTGTCTGATTAAAGTGTGTTCAGCTTCACTAATAGAAAAGCTTTGTACTTTAGTTTTATAAGCTATATACGTTCATATGTTTCATATTTATGATTCAAATTGAATTGGATTAATAGTTAGTCCAATCGCCTGACATCTGCAAGATATACTCTAAACCAATTTAACCGCATCTTCTTGCGGTAAGGATTTCCAAATCCCACGAATTTGTTGCATTAATTGTTTAAAATTTAATATTTGCTGCCCACAACACCTCTAATTTATATAAGCACACATGTTCTGAATAAAATTTGGGTATTGGATCGTTAGTCTCCTGTGGTGAATGTACAGTGTATGTATAATATGTATATATGGGTAATAAAACTAAAATATAGTAGTTTTCCGTTAGTAAAGCTGAACATGTTTTAACCCTAGAAGTATTACAAACTTCCAACCGTTATGCGAATGTTGAGGGGTAGGGGACGCACTCGCGAAGCCCACCTGAGTTTATTATAGTTTTGATCGAAATATATCTTTTAAATATATCTTTTAGAAGCGCGCAACTTCGCACATAGGGAGGGAAATGATATAAAAGAAAAATTCATGTACATTTAACTTTTTAATATGGTTTTATTCATAAAATTTTTTATATTAATCATAGCTTAACATATTTAGCGCTATACAGTCATTACACACTACTGTAGTATTTCAGTGCTTATTACGAACAAGTCTTTTGTACCTGACACAGAATTATTTTGGTTTAGATACATTATATTTAAATTCCTTTATTTGTTGCTTGGAATACGCATTTGCAGGAGCGTCTCCTTACTGTTGGTTGTTCTGTATTGTCGTTGGGTCTACATCGCCGGTCAAAAAAACTTGATCGATGCTGCTAAAATCGATTTTTTCATTTGACAGTCTTATTTCATGTATATAAATGAATTTATTCCATTATATTTATACAACTTATGTGAAAATATAACTTTCTGAAGTATCTAAATGTATTTAACACATATTTGAGCGATATGACTGCAGGAGATGGAGATAACTTTAGAAATACACACAGTTAAACGCGTTTTTCGTCAAAGTGACCAGTCTTCGATTTGATGACGGCTGCACACAATCTGAGCATACTTTTGACAAGTTTCTGCAATAATACATGTTTAATATTGCTCCACGCCAATTGAAGACTGTTCCAGATATCGGTTTGATTTTTTAGAAATAGGTTGATTATGGGGGATGATCCAGTATTTCCAGCAGTCTTTCTCCTTTTTTCTTTTTCAAATAGTTCAAAGTTTCGAAGTGTGTTTAGGATCATTATCTTGTTAAAGTATGATGTCGCGACCAATCAAACGAACACCAGAATGAATCGATTGATTTTGCAATATACGATGATAATCTTCTTTTCGTATGATTCCATTGACTTTGTTTAGCTAGCCAACACCATTATAAGCAAAACTACTTCATATCATGACTGAATGACCACCGTATTTAACCATGGACGCAATGTAAGTGAAATCGTCAAACGTCGCGACATTTTGAATCAAATAGTTCGAACTTTGATACGTCAAACCATAAAACTGATTTTCACTGCTTAAGGGTCCAGTCATTATATTTTTAAGCATATGCCAACTTTTTTATGACTAACTTCACATACGTGTGATTCTGTTTACTGCAAGAGGACCCAACAAATCATTTTCTCTTAGACGTTTTTGAACCGTTGACACCGAAATAGAATTTTCTTGTCTTTTCTTTATCTCAACCGAAATATCCAGTGCTGTATTGAATCGATTTCTCTTGCGGAGAATTTCAATTCTGACGTTAATTGTTTTCAATGTTTTCCTCGGATTTTCAGAACCCTTTCAATTTGAATTCGATCCAATTTCGGCAAAACACTTAAAAATGAAAATGACTGTGGCCTTGCTATCTCCCCAAATGATTTGTTATTTTTTCTCGAAATGGGAATTTGGACCCGCTTTTTTAAAGATATTTGTTTTTTTTCCATTCTTGATATTTAATGATGAATTATGGTTACACGACCTGCTTTGAATTGAGGTTACCATTATTTCCATGAGCTCATTCAAAGTGTTGACATTATTTAGTGTTATATAGTCTAAGTATTAGACTTATTATGAAATTGGGGCGAATGTGGTTGAGTGTATCCGATCATCTGGAGCAACCAATTTAAACAATTCTATTTTCTCATAAATTGCACCAATCGTGTAAAAAAAATTATTTACTATACTTACATGAAATGACATTCAAAAGTCAAGAAATCAATTTTATCCCCATCGGTCAAGTTTCTTTGACTGACGGTGTACATTTCCTTTTTAATTTGGTTTGGTAGCGCCGTTTTTCTATTTGTAAGCAAGAAATAAAAAAATGGAAATAACAGATAAACTCAACTTGACTCTACGGACGGACAAGCTGGCAGCAGAAGCATGATTATGTTGTTTAACGTTCAAATAATTATTTACATCTTCAGCTAACCAAAATTGTACATTCAGTAACAATCTGGAAAGTGTAATCTACAATAAATAATTTGATAAAACTTTTTTAAGTGAGTACTCTGGTACTCTGGTACTCCTAGGGTTAATCGAACAAACTGTATAAAGAGTGGACCACGAAGCGTGATCAGCTTGTTAGATTATTCTGCTGCTAATGGTTCGATCGGACATTTTTTTTAGCTAAAATATTTTCCAGAGTTATCAAGGTCATCTTCAGTTTTTTACAGGTAAAACTACAATTTTTTACACCCATCTTTTGGGGGATACTGAGGCGAATTCGACAAGCATCATAACAAATATCTTTTTCTAAATCTAAAAAGAAGAAAACTCTTAATTGGAAGAGTTTTGCAAAATTCTTAAAGATTCATAAAGATTATTCAAGAAGAATAACAAGCACACTGTTGTACACTTTCTAGAGCTGTTAATAGATTAGTATTAGTCATCATTAGCTTGATCCCTCGCATACTGTTTGTAAATATTTTGTTCCATACCTTGGGACACAGTTAATAACATCGAACGTGAAGTGTTAGTAGTGCTTTGTGATTTGCGTGTACTGAAGGTGACCTTGATAACTCTGAAAATAGGGGTTGACAACAAATTTGATAGAATCATCTTAAAGCTCTCCCTGAACCTTGTTATTTCAGCTAACAAAATTTCCGATCAAACTGCTAGCAGCAGAATAATCTAAGTTGCCCACGTTTCGTGATTCACCCTGTATAAAAACATATAAAAATTCAGGTACGTATAAACATTTAATAGTTTAATTAACACATTCACGTGGGGATATGTTTCCATATGTTTGATCATAAATCGTAAGAATAACAATGTTTGCAAAAATGCTGTCAGAGTGCATTTTTTTGTTACGTATCTAATTTTCTGATTTCAGTTACTAATTGTGGGTAAATGTTCATGAATAATTTGATAAATAATTTGCTTATTAACATTGATTTACTTTAGTGTTATAAATTATCTGTCTACCATCGGTAATACACGCAGGTGTAAACGTGATGAAGAAGTTTAAAAAGGCACATCTAAACCGGAAGACATCCTTATAGTGAAACAATTTTATATCCCATACAATATAGTACTGATTTTTCCAAATTTCGTTAGAATAAGTTTTTTCGAACAATTAAAATTGTTTGATTTATTATCATATGTTGCAAACTATGGAAATACGAAGTTTTCCAAGAACAGTATAACATAAAAACATATTGAAAGTAGCATTGTAGTTGGAAAAATTAATTATAAGTTATAATGTCTAATAAAATTAATTTCATTATATAAAGATGAAATATTTAAAATAACATAATAAAATTAATTATACAAAATTTAATAAAACTGATTAATATATAATGTTCATTCCTTCTATTTAGAATATTCACAACAAACTAGAATTGGCCTTAGATGAAGACAGCATCTTCTACAAACTGGGAAGTGCAGGTTTAATCACGTTCTCCGATTACATATTTCTCCTCACCGTATTATCAAGTAAGTTCTATTTATATTTATACGACATATTTTTGAATCCTCGACTTGCAAATGTAAAATCTCTATCAACATGCATGACAACTATATACAGTACAGCTTTCACGTTAGCTCTGTCGACCACCAAGTTAAAAGTGCACAAGGGCAAGGGGACGAATCTTCCACTTACGATGCTCGGGCCTCCTCGGTTTTCGACGCATAGTCATTATTGGAGCTCGGCAATAATAAAGCACTGAAACGAGAGCGAATGCGACCAAGTGAGATGTAACAATAGAAAACGAAACTGGCGGCACTATGAACATTAATCTCCATTGTTACATCTCACTCCGTCGCATTCAGTCTCGCTTACGCCCTTTGTTACTGCCGCGCGGTCAATAACGATCACATGCCGAAAGTCGATACGGCCCGAACATCGTGAGTGGAAGAGTCCTCTTGACACCCTCACTTCCCACCGTGAAGAATAACCACTAACACTTCTCAGGCGGACAGTACGTATCCCGTACCTAACCCAAACCCAAATGTTTTCGATGCAAACGCCATACCTCAGTCGCTGATGATTCTTATGGGGATCCCCCCCCAAAAAATAGATTAAATTTTAAAGTGCTTGTACTACCAATCGTGATCGCTGATCCTTCAATGCCTCGATTATTGTGAACTTGGTGAATATTACAAATATCTCTGTACGTGTTACAAATGCATTTCGTATGAACACAAAACTAATGGAGGCGAACGAAAAATATAATTTGCCGACTCAGTCGGTATTGTGCGAGGCTTTTACGAACAAACGAGTGCGGTGATCGGCAACCGACGGACTCGATCGGCAACCCACCCGTGTCGTAGCGACACGGAGCGTCATCCATTCCAACAAAATTAATTAAACGTCAGTATTTTGTTGTCTTGGCATTTGCTTTAATGACTCTATCGCACTATATAATTCATTGATATTTGGTTTTTTAAATTTTATTTCTTTATCTACATCAATCCAGAGTATTTCAATAAGATTTAAATCTGGACTTTGTGCTAGCCATTTCAATACAGTAACTTCTTTTTCGTCTACAAACTGTTTAACCATTTTCGCCGTATACTTTGGATCGTTATCAGCCTGATAAATTTAATCTACAAGCATTTTTTCTTCAGCAAACTGCAAAAGAACAAGTTCAACAATGTCTAACTAAACAAAACGATGCATTTTCTCTTGAATGTGATGTACAGGACCAATACCATTGTCATGCTACCTTATACAAACACCAATCCACAGCCTCCTTTCACGATTGGTTTAATACATTTTGAATTGTATTCTTTGCCAATACGACGTCTTACGTAAATTTTGCTATCACATTCAAAATGATTGATTTTATTTTCGTTAGTAAATATAACTTTTGACTATTGGTCTTCTGTCTAGTTGAGGTAAACTTTTACAAATTAAATCCTTGCACGTCGATTCTTTTCCGAAATCAATGGTTTGCTGCTGCCGTCCGAGTTCCAGGGCCAGATGTCTATGCGAGGCCTCCATCTCATCCTTTTTTCTCGTCCTCCACCATTATCCGATTAATGTCCGGCCCTCTCAATGCACGTACGTGTAATTCCTGTGACAGCAGTTCGTGTACCATCGTTCCTTTGATGTTAGTACTACATTCCGCAACGAGCCACATTATATCTTGGTACTCAGATAATCTAAACGCCAAGTTCACTCTGGACATATTCTCGAATTCGACGAATATTTTCGTGTCACTTGACATCGTTGAGTAACGACGCCTCTTCACTGCTTTTAACTGCGACCTCGCGTCCGGGATCGATGCCTATCATCATCCTCTTTAGCTCCCGATCGGTAACGAAGGACCAAAACGGCGCTTATAGTACTCCGTCTCGAATCGCTATCGCCTAATAAACTCGTCATCTCCCGGTTGTATGAACCGTGTAGGCCTTCCGGTGGCAGCCTCTGCTGCTGTACCGGGGTTGTCAATTGGCATACTGTTAACTAACAATTCGAATGTGTGCCATTTCGAACATTGTTGTTTGCAAAAAATGCAAGTCGGAAGTGAAATTCACTGAAAGTGGTAAGCGAGGCTTGGGATTTAAAATAGTTGTGTCTTGTGAAAATGGTTAAAAAATCGAAATACCAAGTTGTTTGTTTATTAACACAGGCTGTGATGTTAATCGTAGAATTATTTTTGTTATGCGTTTGCTTGGAGTTGGTTCATATGAAATTTCAAAATTTTGTGAATTCATGGACTTGTCTCGGCCAATCTCTCATTCGTTTTATGATAAGGTTATTCGAAACATTTTTATTTCAACGGATGCTGTTTGCAAGAAGAGTATTTTAAGGAGACATTACGTTGAACTCGTTTTAAGATCCTCTATCATGACATGGAAGCAAAAACATACGGATCCATTTAAAAAAATGAAGGTGATCTTCAAATGTACGAAGTACCTCCACCTGCAAAAAGCTATTATCGCCACCGACTGGCCCCCTTCGTACTGTGCAATTTTATTTCAGCAAATATTTCTGTGAAACTTACAATTTCGAAGATATCTGAGGTGCTTTTATTGCCTGAGCAACCTGTACTGAGTAGTTATTGCCCCACCCTGTATATTACTATATTTAATTATATATATATTAGTTAACGAACAAATAATGTTTAAACTTGAAAATTTAATTTCTTTTTCTAAAGTCAATGTCTCAAAAACTGTGTTCGATGAAGTCAAGCGGTTTTCAGATTCGTATTCAATGGACGAAAACCTATAACAAAAGTTAAAATTTATTAGACAATATAATTAATAGTTACTCACATTTGTAAATAAACGTCACGATATTTATGTAAAATACATTTTATCTTTATAGCTTCAAGAAGAAATTTTGAGATTGCCTTTAGAATGTTCGATTTCAATGGAGATGGAGATGTGGATTCAGAAGAATTTGGAAAAGTGGCTACTCTGATCCGACAACAAACCAGTATTGGGAACAGACATCGCGACCACATAGCCACTGGTAACATGTTTAAGGTATTATAAATTAATATTCTAATAATAGCATTAAATGTATCTGTCGTTTTGCATTTTGTATTGTAATTTCATTCTCTATTGGTCACTCGATCGTATATCTATTTGAATTACACGTGGTTATGTCGTTTGTAGACATAATCATTGAAGTCGTTGAACGTCAGAATGCGTAAACCACATAATATAAGATTGTTTTTGCAAACTAAATTATATTTTAATCTTTATAAGTAATTTCACTGTTATTTATGATATCTTCTGAAAATCTATTCATTCTACATGACAGACTAATTTTGCGCATATCAGCATGTAAATGAGGTTTCGAAATAGATGGAAACGAATTTTTAACATTCTTTCTTTGTATTTCATTCAAATGTATTCACAAACATAAACAAAAGGGAAATTAAATATTTAGAACTACCTCANNNGTATTGATCAAAATATATCATTTAAATATACTTACGTATTTCAAATGTGCACCTTCGCACATGAGGAAGAAAACGGTGTAAAAGAAAAATGTATGTACATTTGACTTTTTAATATGGTTTTATTTATCAAGTTTTTTTTATATTAATCAGAGCTATTAATTATTTATTACTATAGAATTACTATAGAATTGCTTTGGTTTAGATACATTATATTTAATTTTTTATTTTTTTTATTGTTTGTTGCTTCTAATACGCACTTGTAACAGCGGCCCCTTCTCGTTAATTGCCATCAAGACTACATTTCCTCTTTAATTTTGTTCTCTTTACATTTTTTACACTTTCCACAACAAGTTTGTAATCCTTTGAAATTCGTACATCTGCCATCAATATGCACTTTAATTACTTCGTTTCAGTTTAAAAAACAGCAAGAAGTGCGATTACGTTTTTCTAATTTGGTATTCCAAAATACCGAATTATGTAATCGCGTTGTTTTTCTATTTATAAGAAGGAAATAATAAAACAAATAAAACTAAACAAATAAATGTAATTCAACTCTATAGACTGACAAGCTAGCAGCATCATGATAGTGTCATTTGGCGTTCAAGTAAGAATTACTATCTTCGTCAAACCAAAATCGTTTATTCAGTAACAATCTTGAAAATGTAATCAACAATAAATAATTTTTAATAAACTTGTGTTGTTTCTCAAATGTTTTTCTCAAATTTTTGATGCGGTGTGTGCGAGGAACCTCTCGCTCCCTGGTCGTCATAGGGTTCATTAAGAATAAAGAATAGCTTCTTCCTTAAATATTAAACAAAAATGTGATGCTTTTTATATTTGTTCTTTATATACTTAAAAACTTGTAATAAGTTTTATTAAACACAATTACTTTCTCTTGTCAATATCAGGGATTTTGTTGACAATAAAATATAATATAACACGTGAAAAATTATAGTGATAAAAGTCACTTTAAAAAGACGCTCTTGGATTATAAGATCTTCCTTATATGAAATAAATTATAAATTACAATCTAATGAAAATCATTAAGTTTTTGTATATTTATTACATTTCATTATATTGCTCGGAATATAATCCATTTGTCATATTTTATACATTCAGGGTGTCAATTCTGCATTAACTACATACTTCTTCGGATCAGATATGAAAGGAAAGTTGACTATTGAAAAATTCCTCGAATTTCAACAGCAACTACAGCAAGAAATACTGAGTCTAGAGGTAAGTCTAACACAAATCAGATATAAATTATGTAACATATTTCAGTTATTTTATCTTCATAGTACATAGTAATGAATAAGTATCTCATTAAATCATAACCTTCCATACCCACTAAGCTTGTACCGTAACCATAGTACGTAGGGTCAACTAATTCAAGTGTGTGTGAATATAGTGGTGATTAGAAGAGGAGGAATTCGACTGTAATCGTTAGAGCTTAGTATTACCCGTCTATCACTTGAAAACTAGCACGATGGCATAGGGGTCTCTCGCGATGTGTTTTTTAATAGTTTTGATTGGTTATGTCTAACCATTGACGAAAAGCAAATTAATATTAAAAACAAGATGAGAACAGTTAAAAACTGATCAATTGGACCAGCATTTCTCAACTTAGTTATCAAGTGATAGACGAGCAATAAGTATGGAAGGGATCGCTGAGCAAAGCAGTGAACGAGAAGTGGCTGGCGGGCCACGTTTCCCGTCTATGGATTAAATGAATGTCGAGATTCTGCAATCACATCACTCTACATCAAATTGATCAGTCCTTCATATTAGCATCACAGATTTCTTTCAAAATAAAATATAATATGATGAACGTGAAGTTTGAGAGGAAGGCGGGGGGTAGATACCATTTTGATTGGTTCGAATTCGTTTATAAAATACGGACCTTTGGATAAGGATTTCCAAACGACCAGCTTCTCTCATTCTAATTTATGGCGCCCATGCTAAACATTCACTCGCTCTGGCACATTTTGAATTCTAGGAAAAATCCTACAGTAACATAAATAATTCCATAGATTTAATGTCGAATTAATTTTTTGTCTTAATCTTAAATTGAAATTACATTGGCAGTATAAATTTATCGTTTTGTGTAACTACCATTATTTTAGATCACAAAAAATTGATATTTCCAAGGCTTAACGCATAGTGATACCATTTTACTCAATAAAAAACTTAATTATCTAACATCAAAAATTATAAACAGGTTCTTATTACTTAATTATGTTTTGTGAGTATGCGCGTAATTACTGACGGGTATCACAAATAAATATTAGAGACGTTCAGAATAATCTAGAAATATTTTATGTGTACGTAATCTCAATATTGTATAAAATCAATAAATAATCAGGAATATCTCAAACGTACTCAAGGTATATAATGAATGGTGACAAAGATAATATTCCAGAAAGTCTGCGAATAAGTTAGATGTATGTGAGTGTTTAAATTGCAAGTTTGAGTCCATTTTGGCGTACTATATGTTTCACCTTCGTACGGGTAATTTGTAAATGACTCGTGCCGTTTTCTATGAGATAAATATTGTTTACTTTAATAAATTTCTCCTACAATATCGAAGGTCGGGGGTTTCTTAATTTAAACGAAATTGTGTATCATTATATTCATGAATATTGTTGACGCCTTTACTGAAAGGACGCATACTGCACGGTACCGTTAGATTACCTAGGGCTGAAGGAGCGTCGATGACAACTCGAAAACGTGCAACAATTTCTAGTGGCACCAAGGTGGGATGGGCACTTTCGACCAGCAGGCCCGTAATAAAGCAGTGCGGCAAGGTCCGGCCAAAAATCCCGTACAAAACCACCGTACGCCTTCCAACGCCGTTTCCGAGTTCAGGAGATGCTCCTCCAGGAACTCCATTTTCGTACCCCCACCACCAGAGAAAATCAGTATATAAGTACGGCGTTTTTTCCCGGAATCAATCAGAATCCAAATTATCGAACATCCAACAACGTTACGCTACCCGACGGAGCGTTAACTTATCGTATCGTGTCGTATCGTAACTCATCGTATCGTATCGTATCGTATCATATAATATCATATCGATATCGTCATTATACCACGACACCATTTCAACGCGTCCTCCAACGTTAATTCGTGAGAGACATAGCTTGACCACCCGACGCTCAACAAATATCTTAAATACAAAATAGTTTTATAGCAGATCAAAGCTGTTACAATTAACGTTATAACGAACTATCAAAGATTCGTTACATCTCATTTTCACTCATACTTTATATTATCTACAAGTTGATCTAAAGGAACAATCTACAATTTTTAGTAGTAACTTATTTAACGTTATTTCTTTCTCAGAATAATTAAAAAATAAATTACTATGGTAAAGGACTATGAGATTAATCGAAAATAAATAAGTCTACATTATCGTCAATATTTATTATTAATAAAATTGATCACCAACAGACAAATGGGTTATACCTTAGCAGATCCCTGCAGTAACCGATTTTAATAAAGTCATTAAAAATTGCAAGAAATACACATTTTACACTTCAATGAAATGACACGAATGTAAACAGCAATCATGCAGTGATGAATATTTCAATCTCAGTAATTTTAATCTCATATCTTCAAATGTAGTACCAGTAGTTTGTTGAGATTTTTCTGATTAAAATGAATGCAAACACGATGTAAATCGGTCTAGTTTTATCGATTTGAGATTTCGTCACTGCCACCCCTGGATTTATTCCCAGCTTTCTCTTTTCTTTATTTTTTATTTCCGGAGTGCCCAAAGTTCTGGCAAGTCTAGCAGCAGCAATCTTACATACCTGGTAGGCAACTTCCATCTGATTAGCACTTTCCCGAGCGAAAAGAGAAAGTTAGGGTTTTTAATCTTTTTCCCACGCGATTTTTCCTCGCAGCCTACGCGACCCGGAGTAGGGACAACCCTTTTAAAAAACTCTCGGAAATCGTACATCGGGCAGTTGAGTTTCGCTCTACCGACATCATCGTACAAGTCCACGCCAGTTTCCGTAATATTTTGTGTGCGCGTTATCGGACATTTTATTATTTTTTATCTTTTCGTATTGTTGCGTTGTTATTTTGTTGTTATTATGTTATTTCGTTTTGCTTGTTATTGTTATTTCGTTATACCACTTCGTTGTAATGTAGTATTGATTGTGATAAATAGGAGTTTCACTTATTAACGTACCCTCACTTTACGATTTACGATTTACGTCATGTTTGGACTCATTTTAATAAAACAAATGTCAACAACCCATTGGTACCACATTTCAGAAGGTAAGGTTAAAATTACTGCAATCGAAATTTTCTTCATTGATATTTATATTTGACGTGTGCGGTATCGCTTTGAAGTCCCACGTCTTGATCCTCGATGCTCGACGGATTGTGTCGCTTCCGTTCACTATATCAATTTCCTATCTTTGCCAGACAGTGCTCAAATCAATTTAGGGAGCAAAAGGCTACCCTCGCCGTGAGAATTTTAATGCTGGATCCCGGAATTTTTAAATTTAATCGAACATCACTGTATCCCGAGATGGTACCGGGTAAGTGAGGTCTGTCGGCAGGACTGCCTGTCCCCATCTCCGGTGTTCGGAAAAGTCAATTATTTAGGCTGTTAACGTCACACGTCACAAAAACCCCACAGACTCAGTGTTAATAGGAAATAAACTGAGAATACACCGATGTTTCGAGGTTTGTCGCTCATTTCGTATTATTTTGCTCGCTCTCAGTATATCTCGTTCATTCTCTTCGTCATGCATCCCGAGTGGCGATAACGGTTCCGACAAATGGTACGCCAAAATCGACAATTTGTACGAGGTAGGCTGTCTTCTCCATTTTAACCATTCAGACCCGCATTTCTGCCAAGGGACTTTTTTCTATCTCTATGTAGGTAACTGCGTGAGTTTTGGCTGTGGATGCAAGGGACAAGGTGCAAGTGAGAAGGGGTGCGTGTGAAAAGAAGGGAAGAAAGATTGGAAATAAATCGTAAAAGTTCGTGAAAGTTCATCGCTGGGACAGTCGGAAGTACTCTGGAGAACAGTCTACGACAATCTAAGAGAGTCTGAAAGAGTCAAAGGCGAACTGGAAGTCTTACTCCCATTTGCACACTCATTTTTGTTTTTCAATATATTTTTATCTTTATTAACCCTTTGCACTCCAGTGGTGACTCTCACTCACCATATGGTTTGATGCCGCAACTCCAGAGGTGACTCTCGCTCACCACTTGGTTTGCTATGGTAACTGGATGCGCGGCAGTCTGGAGTTGCTGGTGCGCCGCGCGAAAAAGGCCCGGAGTGCAAAGGGTTAATAAACTTTTATTAAACGTTAAAAGTACCAGTACATTGTCCCAATCCTATTGTACATTTATCATGCTTAGAAATGACCTAGTTATATAATAAAATAGATCATGGTCACGTATTCGATATTTTCATAAAAAGTTCTGTAAAACTTTGTTAATTCGAATTAAATTGTTGCAGTTTGAGAGAAGAAATCCCGATGAAAATGGCAAAATATCAGAACAGGACTTCACAGAGTTATTGTTGGCATATGCTGGATATTCTGATAAAAAGAAGAAAAAAATTTTAAAAACTATTAAAAAGCGGTGAATATACATTTACATTAAACATATGTTCACTTATTTCTAAATAATATATTATATTGAATGTATTACATACATGCAATAACTTTATTATATCAACGTATATTTTGTTTCAGTTTTAAGCAGAGTCCACAAGGAATAACCAAGGATGAATATTTAAAATTCTTTCACTTCTTAAACAATATTAACGATGTGGACACCGCATTGACATTTTATAATATTGCTGGAGCATCGATTGATCAAGGTGTTTATAAACATTGATGTAAATCTTTCTTTTACCAATAATTCAATATCTTAACGATCCTCATAAATACCTTTTGGTATATTCTAATCTGTTGCGAAATAAATATTTAATGCTAATTAAATAATAATATATGGCGAATATTGGAAAAGGTGATTCTACAAACCAAAATTTGATTTTGTTTTCAAATTATAGCGATTAAATTCTTTGATTTTTCTAACTTTATTCTCGCAGGATACGTCATTGTCACTTTCATACTAACCTGTTTTTTCTGTCACTACTGACAGATCATTACAGTATATAGTTTAGACGAGAGATTTTCAATTATTAATACTTTAAAAATGAAATCAGAGCTACAGTTTCCCACTTTTTAATATTTGTCTTCATTTGACTTGTGGAATTAATTCTGAAAAAATTAATTATACATTGTCGAATACTTTGTATACTAAATAAAACACTGCGAATCAATTTGTTTAGCGTGTTCACGTTAGCGTGATCCACCGGTGGGTCACAATATGTGCATTTATTTAGTGTACAAATAAATACTAAGGGTCAGAAACTGAATCCACTTTGAACGTAAATACCTTACAGTTACTACGTGTATAATTTAAGTCTCGTTTGTTATCTATGGTTTTGTAGAGGACATTTTTTATTTATACATTTATTCCTGCATCCACACTGTAGTACCACGATATTAGGCTATATTAGAATAATTTAGAATTGAGATGGAAATGTTATTTGAATATTCGAAATAATCATTTTAATCTTCGATTTAACAAAATGACAATTTCATTTTTTTGAACATATTTAAAAAATTACATACCAGTTTCTACCGTAACCAGTCAAATAACTAGTTATAAAATAAAGATAAACCAGTTAGACGGTGAATTTATCCTAGTGGAAACAGAAACAAAAGGAAAGGCAAAAACTGAAAAACTGATTAATCAAAAACACTACTATAATAAAACACTAAAATACTATTAATCGAACACTATAGATATTGACATCAATTTAAATAAACCAAAAAAAACATAGAATTTTGAATCAAATTTTAAAACCGATCATTTGTACGGTTGCGGTTGAAATGCGGTGTGTTTCGTGTTAAAAATATTTAAAACAAATGTGTTTCTTAATTTAAAAAAAAAAATTTACTTAATTATGTTTTTACTTCTAGCTACACTGAAGCATGTTGCAAAGACAGTGGCACATGTGGATTTGAGCGACCATATTATACAAGTTGTTTACACTATTTTTGACGAGAACAGTAAGTTACTTTTTTATAAGAATACTAATTAAAATAGACTATTCTTTATTATCTTTTAGTCTTAGGATATTAATAAATATAGAGTATACCAAAGCGAAGCGAATCACGAGGCGAGTAGGATAAAAATAAGAATATTGGCCATACTTGTTACATTGTATAGAAATGAGCATGCTGACTGTTCATATTACTTCATACACCTTCACTACACTTAATCCAATACATTTTTAATTGTTTCAAACCGTTGCTTGTCACCAACACGTTTTAGCATCGAAACGAACGCGCGCGAACGTAATGAATTCATGGCTAGTCGTTGAAATTTTACATTTAAAATGGCACAATAAGCTTGGAAATTCAAATGTGTTTATTATTATTAGTCTCTAAGGTGTCTAAATTCAATATTTAATGTACTTTAGATTATTATATTCTATTTTGTTCATTTATCGTGTTCATGTTGAAATCCTTAGAAACGGGGCTACTCGAATCAAATCGCGCGGGGTGAATCGGATCTCCGTTTTCCGTCCCTTTTTTGTCTATGATTATAAATATCATGGTTATTTATATATAGACGTACAAAAAAGGACAAATCAGGGATACCACGGAGCGCAGAAACAATAAAAAACAGAATAATAAGAGTTCACTCCAGAGAACTGACCATACGTCAAACTCCGAATTTATCGCATACCTTCTACAACCCTCCAAAGAAGTCTTACGTGTCGAATAAATATAAAAACCAATTTTACATTTGATATCATCTGCCAATAAAATGATACTTCTTGAAATACTACAAAAGCAGTTATCTCACTTTATCGTATTCTGTTTCATTTGCGATCTTCTTTTACGCTAATAATTATTGGCTGATCGCGTTAACAAAAACGATCGAAACCGAGACGTCAACGTTCATCGCGAGTGGCCGTGTCCTCTTCTAGCACGTGCCCATTTAGTTCGATGGAGATGTGAACAAACGTAGTCTGTGAACAGTATAATTTCATGTATATTTTTTGTATGTATCTTATTATAATCTGTACGTTAATATTTATTTATTGTCAGTCACCGGTGACTGACATGGTGCTTATCGTGTTAATGATATGTTGTAACAATGAAAAACGAATTGTAGAAATAACAGATTTTCAAATGCAACGTGGCATGACTTTACGTTGTCCAATCGATTTCAAATTTTTCACGTGTTATCTTTTCAGCCAATATTGCAATTCCAGGAGGCGTCCGGAGAAAAATCGCGACGATCGTAAACTAAAATCCATCCCACTGTGTAGTTGTGTTACTAATTAATAAATGTGAGACGGTTTATTAACATTGTGGCCCAAATATTTAATTAGGTGTATACCTTTCTTAAAAAGCTCATTGTTTTCTCGTCAAACGAAAATTTATTTCTTCTTTCAGAAAACCGATGTATTTAATTTGCGTAAAATAAAAAAAAGCTAGTTAAAAATAGTATAAATAGAAAAGTTATATATTTTAAAGAAGTTTATTAGGTTGCTGTAGAAGTTCTGTTCGCCTTCTCGTTAGTATAAATAATCTGTCTCTCTTATCATTTTTACGAATCTTTAATATATTAATCTTTAACATTATTAGGACCTAAAGGCAACCGGTGTAAGATACTTTTGTTAATTTTTTAACTCGGAATTTACAATTCAAGTCTTTTAAGACATCTCCACGATCATGCAAGACCACACGT